AGCACTTTGCCTGGCCCAGAAGCCATACACTAGGAGAGTCAAGTTTCCTTCCCTCTTGACATTCTCCTGCCTCCCTAATGAGTTCTCTCATCTGACTCCTTTTTCTGTGCCTATAAACATATACAAATGTTTCCTTTCCTAAAAAATCCTTAGTCTCCATTTCTCCATGACTCCCAGTGGCCATACTCGCCTGTCTGGGCCTTCACTACTCAGTGACTATGGCTTCCCAAAGATTCTTATCTCCAAAACCACTGGCAAATCCATTGGTCTTCACTTAATCTTTAAGCCATCTTAATCTTTAAGGAATCAATGAGGAACTCAATTACCCAGTGATAAGCTGCTGTACTGAAAAATATGGGATGTGGAAAAAGTGCAGACAAAAACATTCTAGCTCATGAGGTCCTGGAAACCTTCTCATAGTAATGGTATCTAAGCCATGAGGAAAATGGCAACCTAGCCACAGAGGGCCTTGCATTCAAACCTCGCTAAGTCCACTGATAGCTTCCCTTCCCCTGATACTCTGAGACCTACTTCTTTTTTAATCAAGTACAAAGTTTCTGCTGCCAGAACAATGTTTCTAAAATTCCTTGCTAACCACATTAATGGTTCCTCACTATTTTCTGGACCAGCCCAGGTGATACTTAGCACAGCACTGAAGGCCCTGCCACAGTCTGGTTCCACAGAACACACCACCCATTCCCAACCTCTGCCTTGCAATCTGCACGCACCATTCTCTGAAAACTCCACCTAGAGTCTTGGCAGAGTGCGCTTCACTGAATCAACAGAAGGAGTGAAATGGGCTGCATTCTTGAGTACTTGTTTTTCCTCTGATGAAATTCAAGATTGCCAAAGCCCTGAAAATATTATGCCAACTCCTTATATTTTATCACCAGACAATGAACAGGTTCCATATTGACCACGAAGTGACAGAGTGAGTAATGAACAACTCCTGACCAGATCACCCTCTAAAGAATCACTATAAATTCTTCTTCGAGTGTCTGAGGACTACTCATTGCTTCACAAGTCACCACAAAGAGGTCAAGATATGCAAAAAGCAGCAGCATAATTTCTCTTCCCTATTTGACTTCCCATGATACTACTGACTTCACACATTGTCCCTTAATACAACTAAAGGATACTCTCTTTTATAAACATAAAATATTTCTGGAAAATTTTAAGCCACTAAGTATGTGTAAAATTTTGTGCTCATGAAAGATCCCTGGGTACTTTGTTAATTTAAGAACATAAAAATGCACCTCACTTTAAAGTATCATTTATGCAAGTAATAATTATAAATCTCTATTGAGTTTGCTTTGAAATGTTTTTAATTTTAGTTCAAATGCTCTATAAGACTCTGACTTTTCATGAATCTAAATCAATTAGTTTTTGAAAGCTCGTGGAGAGAGACAGAGACAAAGAGGCAGAGAGAGAAAGAAAACTTCAGAATAGAAGAAACTGTGAATATTAAAATGAAACAAATGAAAAGCACCTTAACTGGTTTAGTGTGCTTTCTTGTGCAAACTAGATATAAAATGCGCTCAATTTCAGAAAAGGATTTTTAAAGACTAAGAGGAGAGGAAAAAGAAATGTTATTCATTAGAATCTTGCCCCATGGAGTTGTTCTACCATCTCATTTTCAGAGCTACCCTGATTAGTTATTCCCCACTGACACTTTGTTAGGATTGTCTGGTAACAGAAGGTTTATCATACTGAGATAGGCTTCTTTTCCTTTTTTACATGGAATTTATTTCCTCATTTAATGAGACCATTTTCAAGAAAAAAATAAATTCATTCACATGTTGCCAAAAATGGAACACAGTACAGAGAAAACATGATTTAACAAAACCTCACCCTCTATTCCTAAGCAAAAGCATTTCCCTAACATCAACATCTCTGGGTGCAGCCCCTGTGAGCCATTTTAATTTATTTTCCTTTCGTACAGAACTTTGGATTCCAGTGATTTGCAGTAAGTAACACGGTGTACAAAACATTCTCCACTGTAACAGCCTTTCTCTTTTCTTTCTTCCACATTGTAAAAGAGAGAAAAATGTATAGTATTTAAAGAACTGTGTTTTATCTACATCAGTTGAGAGGAACATATGCCAAAAAGCCAAATTCAGATGCCAATTTCATGAGCAAAGTACCTCTAAAATGGGAGAGTACAGTTAAACTTGGAAGCCATCCTCAAGAATAGAAGGGTCTGGCGTGGATTAGGACCTCCAGCTACTAATGCTTCCAAAACAGATGCCCTTTGCGAGTTGACTCAAAAGATATTCCCCACATGTTGGTAACTGACTACTGAGGTTCAGCTCCACAGTTGTACGCCTTGTCTTTTTCTTTGAAAGACAGTAGTCATACCACAAAACCATTTCCACATCTCCTGCGTCTTTCAGCTCACCTGTGCAACTAGGAGAAGACACCTAATTACGTGATCAAACTTTAAGAACAATGTTGTGTATGTCTGTGGTCTCCTCAGGAAGACAACTCACTCATCAACCTCAAGACAAAAAGTCAACAAGAGTAAGCCCTCAAGCAAATAAGACACTAATCTCTTTCATCTCCTGAAAGGAAGTCTTTCCTCGAGGAGAAAACTTAATTTAACCCTTGTTATTGAAAAGTTTACTGCCCTACTTCTTCTCCATATATGTACTGATCTGATGCTGTGAAGACCTTAATGTTACATCTTTCTTCATAACCTTTAGAAATTATCTCAGTGACTAAATTCCAAATTTAAAACATGTGGATCTTGATTTTTAAAAACAAATGTATATCTCCAAGTTTTCCACAAACAATAACAAAACCTTTTATTTCTCTGGCTCATTGTATCTCTACCCTCCCCAGCTTCACAACCTCCTGGGGTGAAAGTAAGAAGAAAAGTGCTAAGTCAGTCACAAGAGCTAACTACACCTTACACATCTCCTCAGGGGCTAGGTCAGTGCTGAGCACACAGTAAGCACTTGTCATAAAAGTGTGTAATGGAGAAGAATAAATGAGACAGAGTAGGTGAAACAGGGAGAAATCATTCGTGTATTCAACAGATGCTTATCCTGTCCACTTCAGCCTAAGCACTACACCAAGCATTAGGCATATGAGAGTTAACAAGGTAGGGCTGGGGCATAGCTTAGTGGTACAGCACTTGCCTAGCGTGGACAAGGCCATGGATTCAATCCCTAGCACCACAATAAAAGAAAAGAAAATCTTAAAAGCTTGGAAAACGTTAACAAGATGGACACAATCTCAGCTCTCAAGTAAATGCAAATCTGAAAGAGAAGATGAACATTAAACAAATAACTGTGGTAAGTAGCAAAACTGAGAAATGCAGCTTCTATAAAGCATAAAGAGATCCCTACTGGATTAGTCCACTAATTGGTTTATCAGAGTTTTGGGTATGCATGGTACCACCCAAAATGCTTGTAGCCTCAATGGGATAAAAGGGAAAGAGAGGCTTGCTGCTGCTTGCTGCTGCCTGCCTACACTGCCATGGACTGTTTCTCCTCTGTGATGCCATGCTATCCTGCCTTGGAGCCAGTTGAGTAGGGACTGAAACCTCCACAAACTGAGTTGAAATAAAATTTCCTCCTTTAACTTGTGGGTTTTGGATATTTCCTCTTAGCAATGAGAAAGTAACTAAGAAAAAGGGTATGGGAGAAAGACTGAATTCAACTTGAACACGCTCAGTTTCATAGGTCCATGATTTAGAGAAGCAGAGATGATGAATATAAAGTCTGCAGCTCAGCCAAATATTTGGAGATGTTAACTAGGAATTCATCAGTAGAGAGGTGGATGCTGAAGCTATAAGAGGGCAAGAGATCAAGAGAGGAAAGAAGAAAAGAAAGAAAAACAGAAGGCCAGGGCCAACAGCTTGAAGAACCCGACATGTAGGGAGCCATGCAGATTTGGTGGCAGCTCTGAGGGACCAGATCTATTTCCAACATGAAACATGGGCTAAGAGCACTTTGGAAGTCAGTCAGCCCCAGCTGGGTAATGTGAGTTTGAGAGGAATAAAAAGATGAAACTGTTACTCAAGAGAAAATCGATTTCAAGCTGTGGTTGGTGAAGGTTGGGAAGTGAAGTCCATCAGCTAAGTAGGAAAGTGATCAAAAGAAGGTAGAAGAAAGTGCAGCAGTGCTCCTGACCCGGAATCTATTTCTCAGCCTCCAGCTTTAGTTTTCTCCAACTTCCTACTCCTGTCATGTGCCACTCTGGATCTGCCGTGACATTTAATGTCTGTGTGCCATTTCAGAGCATACGCTGACCACTTGATCACCCACTGACCACTGCCTATTCGGTATCCTCCTAACTTAACTCTCTGCTCCCTCTACCTATATGTCCTGAACCCTTGTAAACATCTTCATGCTGTTAGGTACACAACACTACTCCATGAGTACATCCTAAATAAATTATGACTTGACTGGCAAGGGTCTTCTAAGTGTGCAACAGAGAACTGCCAAGACCCCTTCTCTGGATTTCCCTACCAGGTGTGAAGACAATTTCTTTCTGGAGTCAGGGGAGTGAACCATATCTGTATTTCTGGATTGACCAGCAATAGCCCAGTACAAAAATCATGCCTCCGAAGAGACCAAGACAGTGAAGCCGCCAAGATTTTTGTTGGACAAACAAGACCAGCTGTTGTCAATCCCGTCAGTTGCCCCCAACTGTCTTTCTCCACCTGTAGACTTGACCTATGGCCTGTGCTTCACAGATATAAACTGTACTCTTCTCCTTAGTGCCACTGTACAAGACTCAACTGAGAAGTCCATATAACTTCCAAAGAGCCGGGGGGCGGGAGCGGGGGGGCAGAGGACATATCCACACATCTATGGGTTTACCTGTTTCCCATCTTCAGAATCAGTTTACTTTGTACCCAAAGACCTTCCATGGGAATGTTGCTAACAGAATGTTGCCTTAAAATATGGGGGAAACTACAAACTAAGACAGAATAAGCAGAAGAAAGGACAAGAAAAAGCTACTTCCCATTTCCTGAGTTGCCATATTCGTACCTTTGCAGCCAGCCGACACTCCATTACCCGGATGTTGAAGTGGGAAGTCGCTGCCTTGTTCATTTCCACACAGCTGTTGGCAATCACAAACACTGCTCCACTGGGAAGCCTCACATCAGTTGCCCGGAGAGGACTAAATTCTATGAACTTGGCCTATTGGAAGACAAATGACAGATGAGATATGATTTGTAAAGATCTGAGAAATGTTCAAGCATTTATGCACTTATTTACCTTAACAAAATCTTCCTTCAAAATGCATTCATTCATTTAAATATTAAGTATGGCATCCAGGCACTGGAGATAGAATAATAACCAAGACACACAGCATCCTGCCCTCACAGAGCCTACAATCTGGTGTGAAAGACAGTAGACAGACAAATACAGCTCCAAGTTGTAAGTGTTGCGGTGGTAGAACAGGACAGGATGCTGAACAGAAACTTAGTTGAAGCACCTGATCAGATACAGCCTAGTAAGATCTCCTTTGAAAAAGGGAAATATGACCTGAATCCTAAAGGATAAGCGAGAATAGGGTTGACACAGGTTTTCTTTTCTCAAATAGGGTGTGGAGAAGAAGAAAGAGCATATGTGTGTCCACAGGCCACAATGTAGGGTGTTAATAGAGGTTTGACTATGGAATGAGGCTAGAGTTGGGCACCTGGGGAGGAAGTGGCAAGGGGCTGGGCTGGAGGGGTAAGCTGGGATAAGTGGAAAAGGTCTGCAGATCCAAGGAATGTGGGTGCGGTTCAGTCTCTACCCCTAGTTTACATGACCATCCAGACGCTTGCCATCATGCTTGTTTGTCAAGTCCAGTTCAAACACCCGGAGATTTTCCTTAGTATTAAACCATACACCCTTAGGCCTCAGGTCTTTGGCTCAAGGGAATCAACGACAAATATGCCTAATAAGAAGAAGCCCAGGTGTTCTTGGACTCCAATAGCCAAGTCTGTAGGAATGTGATGAAAAACTAAGAAAAGATCTTAAATAAATGTCTGTTTCTATTTTAGAAATGGGCAGTTTATGGGCAACAACCAAAACCTCTGCTCTGCCAAGAGGAGTTGGTGGCCAAAGGGAAGTGGTATCCAGCAAAAGAATTCACTCGTGGCTTACTGTGAACATTCTTTTTCCCACCACTGAAGCCCAAAAAATGTTGACAGAGAAAAATAATACCAAAGAGTAAATTATAAAATGAGGGGTTATGAATATACGTGGTAAGAGAGCTGACATTTGGGGTTAAACCCAACATGAGAGTATGAAAATGCCATGAGATAAAGTGATTGAGGATATGAGCAAGAAAGGAGGTCTCTATAACTAGGGAATGGAGAAATCTTAACAGTGAAGGCAGGAGAAAAAGAACTAGACACAGGAGAAAAAATAAACAAGGTATAATAGTGATCGCCTTGACTTACAAAGCAGTTGGGAAACAACATCCTACAACAGAGGTTATAACCACCATGCTGGGGATCCCAGAGCCTTCCCCTCCATGAGAACTGCACCCAGCGTCATTTCCAAACAGCTCTATGCCACCTACAGTTCCTTCTTCTGCAAGAAAGGATATGGACTGGTCCATGCCTCCTCCTTCGGTACCAACATAACGCTCGCTCTTGGCACAGATTTCTGCAAGCTCCACCTGAAAAGGGAAAAACTGATTTGTATTGTGAATGTCATCATAATCTATTCCTCATCTACCTCATTCCAGATATGACAAATAGGTCTGAATTCCAGGGACAATTCTATCAATTAATTGCAACTACCTATCAATCAGTTGCCATGTGTTAACAGGACTGCAGAGGTCTATAGAGCCAAATAGGAAAACATGCCAAGATCAGTTAAAAGGTCTTCGACAGGTATGGAATGAGATACTGACTATGCATGCTGTTTCTGACACCAGTAAAAGACTCCAGAGGCCGGGCAGTTTCTCTCATCTTTCTCTACTCCATCTCTCTCTAAACTGGTATCATTCATTTCTGCCTCAGCCTCCTTTGTTTCCCAACCCTGGACAAGTTCACAGTCTTCCCAAAGCCAAAGCGTGTTTCCAGTCCAAAAGTGACGTGACTCTCTGACATCTCCGTTAAATGTAAGAACAGAACTTCTCACCAGACACATCTTCCTCCGGCTAAGAGGAAAAGGCCCAACAGATGAACACAGTTCTAATCCAAACTGAAGACCTCAAAATATCTGTCCAAGAATCTTCAATGGCTCCCTATGGACAAATAATTTCAAACTCCTCAACCTGCATTTCAAAACCTTCCAAACTCTGGCATATGAAATGGTCTTATCTATCTACTCTTCCAGGTAGATATGTCTTCTTGATCATCTCAGACTCATTTATATAACCTGGTGTTGCTTCCTGTCCTCTTCTATGTAAGTCCTATTGCCACTCAATAGCTGGCTTACTGACCCCATGATACAGGCAAGTCACTGGGCTGCCACTCAATTCTTCCTTCATCCCGCAGTCTCCTACCATGGCATCTACTTTCTCTGAACCCCTACAACACTTGTAGTTAGTATCATCTATTTTGATTATTCATCCACGCACTCTTCATTCATTCTTCCAAGACTCTGAAGTTCTGAAACACTCACATAGTTTAGTCATCTCCTGCCTTGTTGGTTGGCAGTGCCTAATACCCACTTAGCATGGTACACGAGGTCTTTAATGACTTGGCCCTGGCTCTCCCACCGCTGGTCCCATAAACCTAAGCACCAGCTACAGGGAATGCTGAACAAATACTGCCAATCTTCCTCACCTCCCACTGCCTTTACAAGAACAATGTTCTGCCCTCCTCCACACCACTCGCACTAGTCAACAATGCAAGAACCACCTCCCTCTGCAACTCACACCACCACCCAAACTCATACCTGCCATATTACTCCTCCTCCACACGCCCTATTTATAATTGTCACCCTTTTTGAACCATGCTTCAAGTGTGGGTTTATCTGTCTCTTATTCTATCAAGCTCTAAGACCCCATGAAGCTCCTTGGCCGGAGCCCACTTACCCTCTGTAAGCTGACCCACAGTGTTTATTATTGTTCTTTGTGTCATGTCTCCATCCCATCTGTTTCCTCCAGAAAACTGAGTCCTTAAACCACAGATAAAGGACCCATTTGTGCCACCCTCTTCACACCAATGCCAAGCATGTAGTAAATACTCAATAAACACCCACTGTCCCCATTTGCTGAGAATAGCTTCCCGATACTTCAGGTGTCATATTTCTTGCTGGCCATGTGAATTCACTAACATTAACTTTGTCTTGTGATGTGAAGTAAACTTGGGATTGTGACATAAGGGGCACTGGACATGGCCCTGTGACCTGTCTGTAATAGGCACATTAAAAATAAATTAGTAACCAAAAGGTCAAAACCCTTGAATTTAAAATAAAGAGAAACAACACAGCCAGATGAAGCAGACCTGGCGCCCACCTAACTGTGACCCTGGGCCAGTGTGGAAAGACCACAGCCACACGGCCAGGTATGTGCCAAGAATGCTGAGTACCTCCTCTGAGCCTCCAAGACACCCGCTTATTGTCATTCTGCAGAGGAGGATGGTGAGGTGTAGACACAGGAAACGGAAGTGCAGGAGGCGGGACCTGAACTCGACCCATTAGACTCTAAGCCGGTGTTCTTCTCAGGCTGAACTCCATTACTTCCTCCAAAAGGGAGACAATGTAACCCATTTTTCGCTCCATCAAAGGGGTGTGAGAAGACAAATGAGAATCACCCACACTTACATATTCTCCAGTTTAAGAATTAAAAAATAAGAACATTGAGGATTTTATGCTTATTAATTACTTTTTTTACAAAAAACACTCTTCATATGTGGTAACAATTGCGTACAATAACAGAAATAAGATGTTCATTTATCAAGACTATTTATCTGGACTGAATTCAGAGTGATCCCTTAAAGTCTCCCACAGCGTGGTGTCAAGGACAACTCATAAGAAGGAGGGAAGGAGGGAAGGAAGGAAGGAAGGAAGGAAGGAAGGAAGGAAGGAAGGAAGGAAGGAAGGAAGGATATCTCTAAACCTTGCTGTTACCTCTTATGCTGAATTCTGACACATCCACCCCTAACTGGACAGACAGACTCCAACAGCTCTACACGGTGCGGCTCACTGGTAAAGCATTTGCCTAGCATGCATGAGGGCCTGGGTTCAATCCCCAGAACTGGAAGAAGAAAGGGGGTGGGGACAGCTTTACATGGAGAGAACACAAAGAAAGTGAAAGATAAAAGAAAGGATGAGCCCATCTGCAGCCCCCAGAATGCTTTAGGAATTTTGAAGTAAAACCAGTACCAGATGTCTCCCCGCCCTCAGTTCAAGCCCTAACTCTCCTGCCTACCACTCTGTGGCCTTAGACAGATTGCTGCACTGTTTCGAGTTTTCATCTCTTCATGTACTATTAACACTAGTAATAGTACTAATAATGTGATTTAGTGCGTATTTCCCATCTGCTAGGTACTGTTTCAACTGCTTTCCCTGAATTATTTACTTTACATACAACTCTCTATAAAACAGGGCTCTCTCGGCTTTACAGATGAGGAATCTGATTCGGTTTTTAGATGAGACAAAGCTAGTAATTATACAGGTAAAATTCACACTCAAATTATCACACTGTATTACTATTCATCCACAACATGGGGGGAAATACCCACCTCCCAAGCCACAGAATTACTGTGATAATTCAAAGAATTAAAAACACTTCAAATGGGAGCAACTCACAGTGCTCTGAAGCACTATATGATTGTTAATTATTTTTACAAATGAATAGGAAATTATTTCAGAAAGCAGCTAAGTCTCTGGCCCAAAGTAATTATAATTATTCTGTAATATAGGACCATTTTTAAGTCTTTAGGGCAAGACAGAACTTAAGATTCTAGATGCACCTAGAGGGGCCAGTTCACCAAGGGAATAAGGAACCGTGAAGCAAAGAGAAAAGCGTGTGCCCCCTTTACAGACTTTCAGCCCAACCAAGGGACAGGGACGTCCCTCCCTCTAAACCAAGCCTGCCTGGAGTGAGAACTCCAACTGCAAGCCACCAACTGCCCTTCCCCTGACCTTCACCCCACTCCCAAAGGCAGGAAGCTCAGATGGTTAAGAGATGGGAAGAAACTAGAAACAAAAGTGGAGAAAAAAGTCTCCAACCCTATGTGAGGAAAACATGCTTTGGAGAGTCATCAGAAATCAGACCCACAGCCTAGGGCAGAGATGGCACAACTTGAACTCAGAGCACTGTTCATGGAGCGGCCCATGCAGTAGAGGATGGTGAGCAGAGAGGACGCCTGCTACCCTGGCAGATGGGAGCCGACACAGGGCCTGCCCATGCCTCTTCTGTCCCTGGGGGACCCTGGAAACGGAGCCCTAAGATATCCTCTGAGTCAGACAGTCACTGGCAAAGGCAGAGTCAGCACCCCTCGAGTCTTAGATTAGGCAAAATCTCAGCGGATGCCCCGAGTAAGAGGAGCTGCCAAAACTCATGAAGGACGTGTGCGGAGACGCGGCCCTTGGGACGCTGACCACAGGAAAGGCAGAGCGATCAGGGACCCCAAGGACAGTCATCGTACCCGGCACTGCGGAGCGGGGGCGCTTCTCCTCCTCCGCTCCCCCCAACACGCGCACGCACACGCACGCACGCGCACACACAACAACTAAAAAGGTGTTTAGGGTGCCGGGAATTTGGCTCAGTGGTTCCGGCGCCTGCCTCGCAAGCGCAAGGTCCCGAGTCCGATCCCCCGTAACAAAAAAAAAGGTGTTTAAGCCCTTTCCGTGTTGTTCTGTTTTCTTTTCTTTTCATTTTGTTTCTTTTCTGGCAGTGTTGTGGATGGAACCCGGGGGTGCTCTATGCAGCAACCGAGCTACATCCCACCTTTTTTTTTTTTTTTGAGACAGGTTCATTAAGCTGTCCGGGCTGTAGCCCTGAGCTTGTGATCCTCTTGCTTCAGCCTCCCATGTAGCTGGGATTACAGGCTGGCGCTGCCGCCCAGCTCAGCGACGTGTTTTGTTCTGCATGTACACCAAGCACACCAAGGCAGGCGCCCAGCCACCACCAAGCTAGCCTGGCTCGCTCGCACGCGCGCTCTCTCTCTCTCCCCCTCTCCCTCTCTCTCTTCTTCCAAAATACTAATCTGACAATCATCAGCGAAGACACTATGACTACATGAGAAACTGTGCCGGTGTCTGTGGGCAGCCAACAGTGTTTCTTCTGACTTCCACCCACCAGGCAGTTAGGAGAGACCTGACATTGTCCACGGACCTCCTTTAGCTACTGAAGATATTTAACGAGTGAGTCTCCCCCAGCAGCCTGCAAAGGAACCACAAGCCACAGGGATCCCCACGTTAAACTGCTCCCCCATTTGCCGGATGCTGAGCCTCCGGGTAAAAGGAGACATAGCAGAGTTAGATGTAGCAGTCACTGAACAGGTCTGAAGACCCATGCATGGGCTGCCTAGCTAAGCCTGAATATTTATACAAACAGTAACAATAAAGACTCGAGGTATTAACACCTCGAGTTCACCTGTGTCTAGCAGTGTTCCGATGAGACTGTCAAAAGGAGAACTACACAGGAAGGAAGATGCACCTCTTCAAGTGAGTGAACCGGGCCTGTGGGAACCCTAACTACACAGACCACGGCTGAGA